CCCCAAAACCCCAAAACCCCAAAACCCCATATTGCAATTAAATAGTCAGAACAATGAATAATTTGAAATATTTTTAAATAAATACATTATTTTTTATTACAAATTAATATGAGTGCTGGAGGTAATCCATCAAACTAAGCAAAGCCCTTTGACTTTTCAAAGTTTAATTTTGATGTGTTCTAATTTCATAAAAGTTATTAAAGAGGATTTTTGAAGGCTTTACCTTAAATTGATCATAAAACTCTGTTTGGCATCCCAATCTACAAGGGGTTCAAGCATATGCCTTCATTTACACCTTTTAGACTGAAAGATCAAAACTTTTAGATAAATTACGATTCAATTAGCAATTTATAAGACAAATAGGCCTAATAAGTTGAAGTAAAGAGACAATTTTAGGATAAACTTGAGCTTATATAGCCAGAATAGTTCCGCTTTTCTAAGGGTGTGGCAATTATCTATAATCCTAATTCAGGCAAAAATAGGGATATCAGAAAAATTATTACTTCATATTTTGAGATTAGAAACATAAGATACTAGCTGTTTGAAACTAAAAGAATAAGTCATGGTATTGAATATGCTAAAACAATAGATATTTCCTAGTATGATGCCTTAATGGCAGTTGGCGGGGATGGTACTCTACATGAGGTAGTTAATGGAATGCTAAAAAGAGAGGATAAGTTGAAAGTGCCCTTGATTATGATGCCAAATGGTACAGGAAACGACTTCTGTGCTTCAATCGATGTTTTCGATTACAAGGATGTTTTAATGGATTTGCAAAATCCCTCAAAGTTCAAAATTGATGTGCTAAAAGTCTCAATAGATAAGGAAAATACTGAAGAAATACCTAGCACTGGTGAGGACAAACACATTAGATACTCAATAATAAACAGCTGCATATCCCTTTTAGCTAGTAGCAGTGTAGAAGCTAAAAAATATAAGAAATTTTTAGGAAGCTCTGCTTATATTCTCACTTCAGTTAAAGGTCTACTTACCCATAAAAGCTAGTACTATGATGTAGAAATCGATGATTAAAAGGTATTGACAAATTTTAACACGATAATTTTGAATGTTTGTAATGGTAAATACGCCGGTGGAATGAATGCAATAAATGGTTATGGATTCATCAATGACGGCCTTACTGAAATCAATATATGTAGGAATGTTCTAGAGTAAAAGAATCTAAGCAGTCTGAATGAAATCAGAAAATTGATTGATGAAATTACCAAGAAAGGTGGAACCCATGTTTACAACCCTAACTTTTATAATTACAGAGGTAAAAAGATTAAAGTAATTAATAAAAGTTCCAGAGATGGCATCAAGGAGTAGCGGCATTTGGTCCTTGATGGAGAAGAATTTTAATTTTAGGATTTTGTGATCTATGATGTCTTACCCGAGGAAATAGAAATAATTATTGATTATGAAAGGCTTTTGAAAAAATCTCAATATTTCATTTGAACAGACGAATAAGTAAATTTACTGTCCTCGGTCGGCATTACTATTTTATTTACTATCTTTAAAATATCACTTTACCACTTGTTTATTTTTCAAGATTAGGGGTTTTGGGGTTTTGGGG